CCCCCCCCCCCCCCCCCCCCCCCCCCCCCCCCCCCCCCCCCCCCCCCCCCCCCCCCCCCCCCCCCCCCCCCCCCCCCCCCCCCCCCCCCCCCCCCCCCCCCCCCCCCCCCCCCCCCCCCCCCCCCCCCCCCCCCCCCCCCCCCCCCCCCCCCCCCCCCCCCCCCCCCCCCCCCCCCCCCCCCCCCCCCCCCCCCCCCCCCCCCCCCCCCCCCCCCCCCCCCCCCCCCCCCCCCCCCCCCCCCCCCCCCCCCCCCCCCCCCCCCCCCCCCCCCCCCCCCCCCCCCCCCCCCCCCCCCCCCCCCCCCCCCCCCCCCCCCCCCCCCCCCCCCCCCCCCCCCCCCCCCCCCCCCCCCCCCCCCCCCCCCCCCCCCCCCCCCCCCCCCCCCCCCCCCCCCCCCCCCCCCCCCCCCCCCCCCCCCCCCCCCCCCCCCCCCCCCCCCCCCCCCCCCCCCCCCCCCCCCCCCCCCCCCCCCCCCCCCCCCCCCCCCCCCCCCCCCCCCCCCCCCCCCCCCCCCCCCCCCCCCCCCCCCCCCCCCCCCCCCCCCCCCCCCCCCCCCCCCCCCCCCCCCCCCCCCCCCCCCCCCCCCCCCCCCCCCCCCCCCCCCCCCCCCCCCCCCCCCCCCCCCCCCCCCCCCCCCCCCCCCCCCCCCCCCCCCCCCCCCCCCCCCCCCCCCCCCCCCCCCAACCCCCCCCCCCCCCCCCCCCCCCCCCCCCCCCCCCCCCCCCCCCCCCCCCCCCCCCCCCCCCCCCCCCCCCCCCCCCCCCCCCCCCCCCCCCCCAAACCCCCCCCCCCCCCCCCCCCCCCCCCCCCCCCCCCCCCCCCCCCCCCCCCCCCCCCCCCCCCCCCCCCCCCCCCCCCCCCCCCCCCCCCCCCCCCCCCCCCCCCCCCCCCCCCCCCCCCCCCCCCCCCCCCCCCCCCCCCCCCCCCCCCCCCCCCCCCCCCCCCCCCCCCCCCCCCCCCCCCCCCCCCCCCCCCCCCCCCCCCCCCCCCCCCCCCCCCCCCCCCCCCCCCCCCCCCCCCCCCCCCCCCCCCCCCCCCCCCCCCCCCCCCCCCCCCCCCCCCCCCCCCCCCCCCCCCCCCCCCCCCCCCCCCCCCCCCCCCCCCCCCCCCCCCCCCCCCCCCCCCCCCCCCCCCCCCCCCCCCCCCCCCCCCCCCCCCCCCCCCCCCCCCCCCCCCCCCCCCCCCCCACCCCCCCCCCCCCCCCCCCCCCCCCCCCCCCCCCCCCCCCCCCCCCCCCCCCCCCCCCCCCCCCCCCCCCCCCCCCCCCCCCCCCCCCCCCCCCCCCCCCCCCCCCCCCCCCCCCCCCCCCCCCCCCCCCCCCCCCCCCCCCCCCCCCCCCCCCCCCCCCCCCCCCCCCCCCCCCCCCCCCCCCCCCCCCCCCCCCCCCCCCCCCCCCCCCCCCCCCCCCCCCCCCCCCCCCCCCCCCCCCCCCCCCCCCCCCCCCCCCCCCCCCCCCCCCCCCCCCCCCCCCCCCCCCCCCCCCCCCCCCCCCCCCCCCCCCCCCCCCCCCCCCCCCCCCCCCCCCCCCCCCCCCCCCCCCCCCCCCCCCCCCCCCCCCCCCCCCCCCCCCCCCCCCCCCCCCCCCCCACCCCCCCCCCCCCCCCCCCCCCCCCCCCCCCCCCCCCCCCCCCCCCCCCCCCCCCCCCCCCCCCCCCCCCCCCCCCCCCCCCCCCCCCCCCCCCCCCCCCCCCCCCCCCCCCCCCCCCCCCCCCCCCCCCCCCCCACCCCCCCCCCCCCCCCCCCCCCCCCCCCCCCCCCCCCCCCCCCCCCCCCCCCCCCCCCCCCCCCCCCCCCCCCCCCCCCCCCCCCCCCCCCCCCCCCCCCCCCCCCCCCCCCCCCCCCCCCCCCCCCCCCCCCCCCCCCCCCCCCCCCCCCCCCCCCCCCCCCCCCCCCCCCCCCCCCCCCCCCCCCCCCCCCCCCCCCCCCCCCCCCCCCCCCCCCCCCCCCCCCCCCCCCCCCCCCCCCCCCCCCCCCCCCCCCCCCCCCCCCCCCCCCCCCCCCCCCCCCCCCCCCCCCCCCCCCCCCCCCCCCCCCCCCCCCCCCCCCCCCCCCCCCCCCCCCCCCCCCCCCCCCCCCCCCCCCCCCCCCCCCCCCCCCCCCCCCCCCCCCCCCCCCCCCCCCCCCCCCCCCCCCCCCCCCCCCCCCCCCCCCCCCCCCCCCCCCCCCCCCCCCCCCCCCCCCCCCCCCCCCCCCCCCCCCCCCCCCCCCCCCCCCCCCCCCCCCCCCCCCCCCCCCCCCCCCCCCCCCCCCCCCCCCCCCCCCCCCCCCCCCCCCCCCCCCCCCCCCCCCCCCCCCCCCCCCCCCCCCCCCCCCCCCCCCCCCCCCCCCCCCCCCCCCCCCCCCCCCCCCCCCCCCCCCCCCCCCCCCCCCCCCCCCCCCCCCCCCCCCCCCCCCCCCCCCCCCCCCCCCCCCCCCCCCCCCCCCCCCCCCCCCCCCCCCCCCCCCCCCCCCCCCCCCCCCCCCCCCCCCCCCCCCCCCCCCCCCCCCCCCCCCCCCCCCCCCCCCCCCCCCCCCCCCCCCCCCCCCCCCACCCCCCCCCCCCCCCCCCCCCCCCCCCCCCCCCCCCCCCCCCCCCCCCCCCCCCCCCCCCCCCCCCCCCCCCCCCCCCCCCCCCCCCCCCCCCCCCCCCCCCCCCCCCCCCCCCCCCCCCCCCCCCCCCCCCCCCCCCCCCCCCCCCCCCCCCCCCCCCCCCCCCCCCCCCCCCCCCCCCCCCCCCCCCCCCCCCCCCCCCCCCCCCCCCCCCCCCCCCCCCCCCCCCCCCCCCCCCCCCCCCCCCCCCCCCCCCCCCCCCCCCCCCCCCCCCCCCCCCCCCCCCCCCCCCCCCCCCCCCCCCCCCCCCCCCCCCCCCCCCCCCCCCCCCCCCCCCCCCCCCCCCCCCCCCCCCCCCCCCCCCCCCCCCCCCCCCCCCCCCCCCCCCCCCCCCCCCCCCCCCCCCCCCCCCCCCCCCCCCCCCCCCCCCCCCCCCCCCCCCCCCCCCCCCCCCCCCCCCCCCCCCCCCCCCCCCCCCCCCCCCCCCCCCCCCCCCCCCCCCCCCCCCCCCCCCCCCCCCCCCCCCCCCCCCCCCCCCCCCCCCCCCCCCCCCCCCCCCCCCCCCCCCCCCCCCCCCCCCCCCCCCCCCCCCCCCCCCCCCCCCCCCCCCCCCCCCCCCCCCCCCCCCCCCCCCCCCCCCCCCCCCCCCCCCCCCCCCCCCCCCCCCCCCCCCCCCCCCCCCCCCCCCCCCCCCCCCCCCCCCCCCCCCCCCCCCCCCCCCCCCCCCCCCCCCCCCCCCCCCCCCCCCCCCCCCCCCCCCCCCCCCCCCCCCCCCCCCCCCCCCCCCCCCCCCCCCCCCCCCCCCCCCCCCCCCCCCCCCCCCCCCCCCCCCCCCCCCCCCCCCCCCCCCCCCCCCCCCCCCCCCCCCCCCCCCCCCCCCCCCCCCCCCCCCCCCCCCCCCCCCCCCCCCCCCCCCCCCCCCCCCCCCCCCCCCCCCCCCCCCCCCCCCCCCCCCCCCCCCCCCCCCCCCCCCCCCCCCCCCCCCCCCCCCCCCCCCCCCCCCCCCCCCCCCCCCCCCCCCCCCCCCCCCCCCCCCCCCCCCCCCCCCCCCCCCCCCCCCCCCCCCCCCCCCCCCCCCCCCCCCCCCCCCCCCCCCCCCCCCCCCCCCCCCCCCCCCCCCCACCCCCCCCCCCCCCCCACCCCCTAATCTGCCATGGGCCCCCGTACTACCAACCCTCCTCATGTCTGTGACGTTGCAACAAGGTGGAATTCAACCCTACATATGTTAGACCGCCTTTACGAACAGCAAAAGGCCATCACAGATTTCCTGATGTTAAAAGCGGATAAAGGTACTCCCTGTGTAACTTAGATGTCAGCCATTGGCAGCTCATGCGTGACACCTGCGCTTGCTCAGGCCCTTGAGGAGGCCACGCTATTCGTGAGTCGGCAGGACTATGGGATGAACGACGTCATTCCTCTGTTGCACGTCCTGGAACAAATGCTGTTAACAATGGCTTGTCAGGGTGCGGTAGACGTGGCGCACAGATCTCAACGCCACATGACCCCTGTGGGGGCAGGACAGGAAGAAGAGGAGGAGGTAGAGGAGGACATTGGTGCTCAGGAATTATTGAGTGAAATGGGTTTTTTTCCACTCAGCGGACAGGAGTGGAGGAGCAGGAGCATCTGGTAGAGGAGGAGGAAGAGGAGACAGAGGACCCAGACGCACCGTGGCAGTATGCTGTGGAGATGGAGGCAGGGAGTCCCTCGCATTCCTTGGCACAAATGGCCCATAGCATGCTCGCTTGCTTGCGTACTGACAGCCGAATAATAACCATCAGACAGAGGGATGACTTTTGGCTGTCCACCTTGTTGGACCCTCGCTACCGTTCCAAAATGGTGGCCTTTTTCACACCTGCTGAGAGGGAGGCCAAAATAACGTACTATAAAAACCACCTATGTAGTCAGCTGGTCTCTGCCTGTCTGCGCCAACGTCCATCCTCAGACACTGTGGGCCCTGTGCGCTCTCGCGTTCCGCTGCCATGGCAGCAGGGGAGGGGTGGGGTGGTAGGAGCAGTGGCAGCTCCACCAGCAGCGGCTGCCTCAGTCTGCAGTCGATAATGAGTAGCTTTCTTCACCAGCGCAGTGAGGAAACTACTAACCAGCCGCAGCAGCAGCAGCATCAGGTGGACCTGGAGCAGGACCTCAAACAACAGGCTTAGGCCTACTTGGACAGCACCCTGCCAACCGAGGTAGACAATCCCCTTGACTACCGGGCAACGAAACTTGACCTTTGGCCCCAACTAGCTGAATTTGCCCTTGAAAGGCTGTCATGCCCGGCCAGTAGCGTGGCATCGGAGCGCGTGTTTTAGTGCGGCAGGAGGTATTGCAACTCCGCGGAGGACACGACTGTCCACCCAAAGTGTGGAGAGACTCACGTTTGTGAAAATGAATCAGGCGTGGATTAGTCTGGATTTCAAACCACCAGTTCCTGACACAACTGACTAAATCCGCCATGAATCATGCCCCAAACATGTGCCACTTTCAGGTCTCCTCACACTGCTGGTGTGTTCCATTTTTTGTCATAGGGTGCTGGCAGATTACGGGCCTCCCATAGCTGCTGCCAGGCCCCTAATCTGCCATGGGCCCCTAAATACCGCCTCCTCATGCTGCTGCCAAGTCCAGAGTCTCTCATGGGTCCCTGTACGGCCTCCCATTGCTGCTGTCTCCATCGCCACACTCTGCCATGTGCCACTTTCAGGTCTCTCCTCACACTGCTGGTGTGTTGAATTTTTTGACATAGGGTGCTGACAGATTACGGGCCTCCCATAGCTGCTGCCAGGCCCCTAATCTGCCATGGGCCCCTATAACCGCCTCCTCATGCTGCTGCCAAGTCCAGAGTCTGTCATGGGTCCCTGTACGGCCTCCCATTGCTCCCACTCTGCCATGTGCCACTTTGAGGTCTCCTCACACTCCTGCTGTTTTCCATTTTGTCATAGGTTGCTGGCAGATTACAGGCCTCCCATAGGTGCTGCCAGGCCCCAAATCTGCCATGGGCCCCCGTACCGCCTCGTCACGCTGCTGCTGGGTCCACAGTGTGACATGGGTCCCTGTACCGCCTCCCCATTGCTCCCACTCTGCCATGTGCCACTTTGAGGTCTCCTCACACTCCTGCTGGTTTCCATTTTGTCATAGGTTGCTGTATGGCCTCCCATTGCTGCTGCCTCCACCGCCACACTGTGGCTCCAAACACTGGTTTTGGCCCCGTGACTGGCCAAATGAGTGAAGTGTGCGGTGATTCTAAGATCGACGGCACTCATCTGCATGTCATACTGACTGACAGTATTATTTCTCTTCCCCAGCAGACTCCAAGGGCATTTAAATTAAAGGTACAGTGTTCTGCACTAATATTAAGCCTAGAAACACCCTTTTTTAAGTTAAATTCACAGCGAATATATTCGACTCGAATCGAATATTGTCCACGAATTCGCCGAATCAGTCGAATCGAATTTTTGAATACTTCGCTCATCTCTACTAATAATAAATATGAGCATAAACAGCTAGGGTGTGATGCTATAATACAGCCCAACTCCGGGAAAGTAAAAAACCCTTGCAGTGGGGGGGGAATAGCCTCCTTCACTTACCTGATGCCAAGCTCCAGCCAGCCCTAATGCTCTCCTCTTCCACCCAAAGCATCAACATCATCATATATCATATAGGGCCATTGTCCTTGTATGTCAGGATGAGGAGCCTGGAGTGTGACCACAGCCAGCAACTTATGCAGAGGTTGAGGGGAACTAGTCCCAGCACTAGAGGGAGCCTGCTGCAGCAAAGAACAGGGTAAAGCTGAGTACACACAGCTCAAGACTCTAAATCCCAGGGCATGGTTGGAATTGTAGTCTTAGTGAACCCTGACAAACATGAATAGGAAGAGACATCGCCGCTTCTGAGATCCCTCCTTCCAGAGCCCGGGGATTCAAGAAGAAGCTGTGAAAAAAAAATTTCACCACACAAGGTATCCAAACATGGCTATTGTACAGATTTTAGCACCATCCTGGAGTTCTTCTTTAAACCTTTAATATGAAAGAGAAAGTTATAGAAGACAAGTAGGTCAGGCAGGTATATAAAATGGGTGGTTTTATGTTTGTACAGTATGAGGTGTTTGTATGTATAGTTACGTGTATAAATGTAGGTCTAAAATGCCTTGTAGGGGGTACTGCTGTGCACTAGGGTGTATACTCCTGGCCTCTGCACGCTATAGTTTACCTACTCCTGCACATTGTATATTACCTACACCTTACCCTTGACTCCTGCACATTGTATATTACCTACCCCTGACTCCTGAACATTGTATATTACCTACACCATACCCCTGACTCCTGCACATTGTATACAGTGTTACCTATACCTTACCCCTGACTCCTGCACATTGTATATTACCTACACCTTTCCCCTGACTCCTGCACATTGTGTATTACCTACACCATACCACTGACTCCTGCACATTATATATTTCCAACACCTTACCCCTGACTCCTACACCTTACCCCTGCCTCCTGCACATTGTATACTGCTTACACCTTACCCCTGCCTCCTGCACATTGTATACTGCTTATACCTTACCCCTGCCTCCTGCACATTGTATATTACCTACCCCTTACCACTGCATGTCATCCTCTCCTGATTCCTGTACATTGTACATTATGCTTGTTCCTGGCCCTTGCACTTTGTAATTTATCCAGTCCCAACTTTTGCACTCTATACGTAGGTATGATGATTAGGTGTGGGTAAGATGATTGGTCATGCACAATCTGGTGGGGAGGAGGGGCAGCTTGGCATTTTTGCCCTGGGAGGTTGATGACATTATCCCAGCACTGCCTCTGAGATTTGGTCAGCGGTGAGAATGTGGTGAATGATTACCTTGACAGAAAACAGATAAACATTTTAAGACACAGAATATAGTTTAAAGTAGAACGACACTGAATCCATCTGAGCACCACAAACCAAAAATGCTATTTAATTTATTTTAAATATTCAAAGCAAACTCATTCATCAATGTCTCCATCAGGCTTTATTTCACTGAGAAATCATTTTGAAAAACACCCCCTAGCTTTTCTGGCTGTGGCCATCTTGAGTAAGGGCAGATGATTCATAATATTTACTTCCTGGAATCTTCCCTGAACTCAGGCATGCAGACAGGAGGGTGTGTTTTGCTGAGAAAGCCCCCTCCCTTCATGAAGACTCCTGGGATGTATGACATAATTTGCCTAGGCCTGGAAATCAGGAAGTAACTGAAGAAATATAAAAAAAGTTTAAGGTGTTACTAAACCAACAACAGTAAAATCAATCTGTATATGCAGTAAAGCATGCTTGTTATACTCACTGTGGGACCTAAGGACCTCTTCTCTGCCCCTCCTCTTGTTCAAATGTCCACGCTGATAAGAGAGATTGAACCTGTAGCACATGCTCAGTTTAGTGTGTATTGCTAGAGTTTTTTTTTCTCTTGGGAGAGTGCGTGTGATCAGCACAGGGCCAATCAGCACTGTCAGGGATTTTGCATACTCCTAGAGCAGAAAGAAAACTCCTCCTACAAGCTTTAACCAGTGCTCTGCTGAAGTCACAAGACTGCTCTAACTGCTGATGAGAAAAGGTTTTTAGCAGTTTATATTTACTACAATAATTGCATTTCCATGTTGTGTGTACTGTGGGAGACCAGATATAGTGAATGCAGGGTCCAGGGTTTAGTAACACTTTAAAGGAAGTAAATATAATATACCTTTCTATTGATTTACAAATGCTAGCAGCATAAGGATTCAGAATAAGCAATGCCGATTGAGAGAGTGAAGTTCTGCTTTATATGAGCTCAAACACATAGAAGAATATTTTCTAGGTAAAAGCATGCCTAAGCAGGCACATAAGGCTGATCTTTTTCTATATCCTGAAGCCACAATTGGACGTTAGTAGCACACTAGGATCGTACTAACTGCTGTAACAGATTATGAAGGGGAAAGTGGAACATACCAGTACAATAAACATTAGAGCAGTGGCAGCAAGGCCAGCACAGGGCTGTTTATTTATTTTCTTGTTCATTCAGCAGCCCCTGATCCCTGCTGAACTGGATAAATTTCAATCCAGCTATAGCCAGCTTGTAAACAATAGGGTGGTGGTTGTTTGTTACGTTCTCCATGTTTTCCAATTAACTAGTTGGGCACCAAGTCTGAGAAACATGAGAAGCCTACCCCAGGGTGGGTTCTTCTGGAGCACACTAGGCACCTTGTACAGGGTCTCTCTCTCTACTGCACACACACCCTGGGTACCTTTGCTTTAGTGTCGTTTTCACCAGTGCCCTGGGACAAGGCTGAGGTTGCCGCCAGGGAATACTCAACTTTAAGGTGGACCTCTACTGTTAGAGATGAATGTACACCTGCACAACAACTGTCCTTCAGTTACTCTTGTAAACGTACCTCGTTCCTCTGTAGCTTGCAATTAGGTGGGCTGTGCCCAACACTGACCACAGCCACCTGAACAGCATTTTCCTTCTACCGATCCCGGCAGCAGCATGGAACTTCGCCATGCAAATAGCGCAAGCCTCAAATGTGCACTTGACTTTAACTCTTGAGCTTCCACATCTCTGTACAGGATGGGAACCTCCACACTGCAGTTCCGCTCCGGTTGCTGTGGGAGACAGCATAGGGAGTGCCGACAACATCTCCCTCACATCTAGAGGCAATTCCACCTATAACAGGCACATGTTCCAACAGCCTGCTTGTACCTTCCTTGCTTGTGGCAACCACATGTACAGTCAGGTCCATAAATATTGGGACATCGACACAATTCTAACATTTTTGGCTCTATACACCACCACAATGGATTTGAAATGAAACGAACAAGATGTGCTTTAACTGCAGACTGTCAGCTTTAATTTGAGGGTATTTATATCCAAATCAGGTGAACGGTGTAGGAATTACAACAGTTTGCATATGTGCCTCCCACTTGTTAAGGGACCAAAAGTAATGGGACAATTGGCTTCTCAGCTGTTCCATGGCCAGGTGTGTGTTATTCCTTCATTATCCCAATTACAATGAGCAGATAAAAGGTCCAGAGTTCATTTCAAGTGTGCTATTTGCATTTGAAATCTGTGGCTGTCAACTCTCAAGATGAGATCCAAAGAGCTGTCACTATTAGTGAAGCAAGCCATCATTAGGCTGAAAAAACAAAACAAACCCATCAGAGAGATAGCAAAAACATTATGCGTGGCCAAAACAACTGTTTGGAACATTCTTAAAAAGAAGGAACGCACCGGTGAGCTCAACACCAAAAGACCCGGAAGACCACGGAAAACAACTGTGGTGGATGACCGAAGAATTCTTTCCCTGGTGAAGAAAACACCCTTCACAACAGGTTGGTAAACCATTGGTGAGCCTCAAAAACAGGAAGGCCAGATTAGAGTTTGCCAAACGACATCTAAAAAAGCCTTCACAGTTCTGGAACAACATCCTATGGACAGATGAGACCAAGATCAACTTGTACCAGAGTGATGGGAAGAGAAGAGTATGGAGAAGGAAAGGAACTGCTCATGATCCTAAGCATACCACCTCATCAGTGAAGCATGGTGGTGGTAGTGTCATGGTGTGGGCATGTATAACTGCCAATGGAACTGGTTCTCTTGTATTTACTGATGATGTGACTGCTGACAAAAGCAGCAGGATGAATTCTGAAGTGTTTCGGGCAATATTATCTGCTCATATCCAGCCAAATGCTTCAGAACTCATTGGACGCCGCTTCACAGTGCAGATGGACAATGACCCAAAGCATACTGCAAAAGCAACCAAAGAGTTTTTTTAAGGAAAGAAGTGGAATGTTATGCAATGGCAAAGTCAATCACCTGACCTGAATCCGATTGAGCATGCATTTCACTTGCTGAAGACAAAACTGAAGGGAAAATGCCCCAAGAACAAGCAAGAACTGAAGACAGTTGCAGTAGAGGCCTGGCAGAGCATCACCAGGGATGAAACCCAGCGTCTGGTGATGTCTATGCGTTCCAGACTTCAGGCTGTAATTGACTGCAAAGGATTTGCAAAGAAGTATTAAAAAGTGAAAGTTTGATTTATGATTCTTATTCTGTCCCATTACTTCTGGTCCCTTAACAAGTGGGAGACACATGTGCAAACTGTTGTAATTCCTACACCGTTCATCTGATTTGGATGTACATACCCTCAAATTAAAGCTGACAGTCTGCAGTTAAAGC